CTCCCCCCCCCTCTCGCTCGCTCCCCCTCTCGCTCTTTCTCCCTCTCGAAAAGGCAGCAGTCAACCTTGAGGACCAGTTCCAAGGTGAAACCCGCATGTCTGATGAAATACAAAGACTGAATACTTCCCTGACAAACGCACACAATTGCGCACACAACCACTAGCACTCTCTCTCAAACACAAATGCCTTTCCACATAAAACGCTGCCTGTCTTGCAGCTAAGATTAATAGCAGCACACCAGCTCACCACTCTCACACACACACACACACGGAGATCTCATAGGAAGGTAAAAATAAATGTCACACACAAGACACATGTTATTTCTGACACCATATTGTGAGCGACATGCGGAGTTTGTCTGTCGCCCATCATTGACATAAACAAATGTGGACAGATTACTAAAAGTGTCTAAACTTCTGCAAATAAATCCCTTTGCATTTTCAATTGGAATAATTAGAGTTAATGATAATACAATTAGGCGAGGTTTAATTAGCATCAATCAAAGTTGTTACTAGGGTTTAGTCCGTTATATTACCAATCTCTCTCCTTATATACTGTATGCATATATACCTGCATACACTGTGTGTGTATAACACCAAGGTTGACAAATACAAACACCTACCCTTCATAGCTCAACTCAAATACTGCTGTAATGCCCTCAGGCAATGCCAGAGGCCAGGATCTAGAGCCCTCGATGTGTGTGTGTGTGTGTGAGTGTGTGTGTGTGTGTGTGTGTGTGTGGTTCAACAAGCCTTCTCTCAGTGGAGCCATGAACACACGCGTTGTCGCTGCATTATCCTCCAGTTCATGTGCATAGCTGTCACACATCTCCCACAAGTTAACCGACTGACACAACTCACTACCACCTTCAGAGTGAGTGAGTGAATAGGTAAGTTTGTACAGTGCATCTCCTTGCCTGTACCAAAAACATATAATTCAGACAATTACAATTTATTATATGTCTGTAGCACACAATCCTTCTGCAGGTATCCATGTGTTTCTCCCTCCTCTATTCATTATTGAGGTAACGTGCATACTTTTTTGAGAGGATATCTTCTACTTTGAGGTCAATGGCCTGTGATAGTCCATCTTCTTTTGACCATGCTCTCTGGTCTGTCTTTCTGGATTTATATCTGGATCATTGTCTCTGCAAAGAAAAAGTGTGTGTGTGTGTGTGTGTGTGTGTGTGTGTGTGTGTGTGTGTGTG